CCTGCCAGGGACGACTGCTGCCCTGCCTGTGACGGTGAGGGGCAGGGACAGGGGGTGGGCGAGGCCGGGGGGCTGGGTCAGTCATCCTCACTGGCCTCGAGAGGGCCCCCCATTCTTTTTTCTTTTTTTTAATATATTTTATAAGAGTTAGAAACATTGATGAGAGAGAGACATCGATCGGCTGCCTCCTGCACATCTCCTACTGGGGATATGCCCGCAACCCAGGTACATGCCCTTGACCGGAATCGAACCTGGGACCTTTCAGTCCGCAGGCCGACGCTCTATCCACTGAGCCAAAACGGTTTCGGCGGGGCCCCCCATTCTTATTACACTAAGAGAAAGCCCTGGACTAAAGCCTGGGTTTGCTGCTGCCTCTGGCGCTGTTTGGCTGTGTGACCTTGGGCAAGTTACATAACCTCTCTGAGCCTAATTTCTGTCAATGTTTTAAAAAAACACATAACATAACATTTACCATCTCAACCATTTCTAAGTGTGACTCTGGGCCTAATCTTTACTCCTGTAAAAAAAGAGAGTTGAACAAGACCAGTTCCCCAGTCTTCGGTCACTCCTGTTTATTATCTTAGCAATTGTTTCCAATACCCTCTACCACCTGTAACTTTATTTATTTAGTCTTTTTCTTCAAATTGGAATTTTAAATGGAAATTTATCTAGAAAGGAAGCTTTATATCATACTCTAAATGGAAAACTAGATTTTCAAGAAGTAGAATATTACCATTAAAGTGAATACAATTAAAAATCAAATATTAAATTCAAGTCAGATACTTTTGCCTTCTAAGGCTTTGATCCGGAGACTCACCTCCCTTTTCTCATTTTTACTGACTTTTTCTTTTAAAGAGAAGTTTTAGGTTCACAGCAAAATTAAGAGGAAGGTGTAGATTCTTCTCATATATCCCCTGCCCCCCCCCCAGGCAAACCCCCCTCATTATCAGGGCCCCCCACCAGGGTGGTACATTGGTTACAGTTGATGAGCTCACACTGACATGTCATTATCATCCAAAGTGCCTTCTTTTTCAAAAAGGTCAGAAAGTGTCAGCCACTCAGGGCAAGCTGCCCGACCCTGGGCCCCCGGCCCCTCCTTGATTGATCAGAGGGCTTGAAAGAGCATTGGAAAGGGGATGCCTTGGGTCCAGGCCACCTAAGTCATCTCATGCATCTCCCAGCTCTAAGGTCAGGTTGGAAAAAATGGTGCCTTCTGGCTGGGCAGTGGCCTGCTGGGTATTCAACCCTAGGGACAGATTCCGTGTGGGTTTTCCCTGTAGATCGGACGGACAGGGAGAGTTTTCTGCCAGCTGAACGGGAGAAAGTTTGCCCTTTGGCCAGTCCGACCCCCCCCCAACTCTCCACTTCTGTGTCCGTCAGCCTGGATAGAGGCCTCCCTCCCTACCGTGGCCACGTCTCTGAGGCCTTGGACTCAGGCCAGGGGCAAGCTCACAGCTGGTGACTGCTGTCCTCTCACCCTCTCCTGACCCCACCCTGCCTCTCCCTGTCCTCTCTTCAAGGCTGTGAGTATTTTGGGGAGTCCTACCTGAGCGGCCAGGAGTTCCCAGAGCCTCGAGCGCCCTGCAACCTGTGTACCTGCCTGGAAGGCTTTGTGACCTGCAGTCGCAGACCCTGTGAGCCTCTGGGCTGCAGCCACCCGCTCATCCCATCTGGGCACTGCTGCCCCACCTGCCAGGGTAGGGCAACGCCTGCCCTCCCACCGCCCCGCCCCTTCTGGACCTCCAGCAGCCCAGAGCAACGAGACAGCCGCCCCGCAGACCCACACCCTGCGTTTCCATCACGCGCCTCCACTGTCTGTGTCCTCTGTCCCTGCTGTCCCCTCTCACTGGTGTTGGGCTCACCAAATAACTGGTTCCTGTGCTTCCAGACCTTTCTGCTCTTAAGTTGTCCTGCTGCCTTCCTAAAACAGCACATCATGAGACTCAAAACTATCCCCACTGCCCTGGGTGCCTCGGGGCCCCGCCCATTGCTCACCTTCCTCTGTGAGCCCACACCTCCATGCTCCACGGCCTCCCTGCGTGCAAAGCTCACCACTTACAGCTCGGTGAAGCCTCTCCTCACCCACCTTCCCAGACACCCGCTCTCCCTCTTAGACCCCTAAGCTTTGAGAGGTCCCAGGCCGGCTGTGTGTGCGTGTGTGTAGATGTGTGAGTGTATGTGTGTGAGTGTATATGTGAGAGAGTATGTGTGTGTGAAAGTATGAGTGTGAGTGTATGGTATTGTGAGTATATGTGAGTGTGAGTGTCTATGTGTGAGAGCGTGTGAGTGTGAGTGTGTGAGGCAGGAGACGGTTCTGTTGACAGCAGCTCTCCCACTGCCTTCCCTGCTCTGCCAGGATGCCTCTATCATGGAGTCACTGCTGCCCTAGGAGAGACCCTCCCTGACCCACTGGACCCCACCTGCTCCCTGTGCACCTGCCAGGTGAGGTGGCCTTGGGGAACCCGGGAACCTTCATCCCTGACCCTCCTTTCTGCCTGGGTTTCTTCCACCCCAGTCTCACAGCGCACCTCTGCCTGTGACAAGTGGGACAGGACTGGGCTCAGGCCTCCTGGCCAAGCCAGAAGGTTTGGGCCTGGCAGGCTCTGTGGGGTGCCCCATCTTGAGGCAGTGTGAAGCCTGGGTTGAGGGTGTGATGACATGGGGATCAGGAAGTGGCAGTGTGACCTCTCTCCCCAGGAAGGTTCCATGCGCTGCCAGAAGAAGCCATGTCCACCTGCTCTCTGCCCTCACCCCTCCCCAGGCCCCTGCTCCTGCCCTGTGTGCCACAGTGAGCTGCCTTCCCCACACCCAGGCCCCCGGGGCCCCTCCCGGCCCCTCCTCCTCACCTTTCGCCAGGCCTGAGGTTGGACAGGGCAAGTGGCACATCGTCCCACCCAGAAAGCATGTCGCCCACAGGATGCCTCTCTCAGGGCCGGGAGCACCAGGACGGGGAGGAGTTTGAGGGGCCCTCAGGCAGCTGCGAGCGGTGTCGCTGTCAGGTATGGCCGGGAGGTGGCAGAGGGGCTGGGGTGCTGGCTGGGCACACTGCCTCTCGGGCACCCAGCCCAGGAAGCAAGTCACTGACTCAGCATCCTCTGCAGGCCGGCCACGTCAGTTGTGTGCGGCTGCGGTGCCCACCCCTGTCCTGCCCACTCCAGGTCACCGAGCAGGGGAGCTGCTGCCCTCGCTGCAGAGGTGTGCCCGGCCGGTGGGGCTGCCCCTTGCTTCTGCCCCTGGGCCCATCTGCCCCACCTCCTTTCCCTCAAACTCCCCTCCTGTCTTCCCACCTCCCTGCCCACCCATCTGCCCTCCCACGCCTCCGTCCTTGAGACTTCACCCCTGTCCTCCTTCAGCTCTTCTTACCTGGCCCTGCCCCTGGCCTGCCCAGACCATCTCCCCCTCCAGAGGCTTAGTAGAGCCACCTCAAAGCTGCCCCCTACCTAACCACACCCCAGTCATCATCATGATCACATTTACGGAGCATATACCAGGAGCTAGGCACTTCAATCCACACAAAGATCTTAGCAGGGAGGCACTATGATTATTATTCCTATTTCACAGATGGGAGAACTGAGGTGCAGAGAGGTAATATAACTGGCAGGTGGCAGGGGCAACCTTTGCTTCTAGGCTGCCTGAATGGAGCCTTTCTGACCTGCCCCCTGCCCAGCATGGCTTAGATTCCAGAACCATGACAGCATCTCACTGTGCGGGGGCAGCACAGAGGAAATTCTATATAACAGCTATGGAGTCCGAGGCTTGGAGAGATTGAGTTACCTTTCATTCACTCTGCATGCATGTGTTAGGTGCCTGCTGCATGCCAGGTACTGGTGCTGATGCTGGGCTACCACAGGCAGTGCCTGCTGCCTGGCCTTTGGTTTAGCAAGCAGACGTGCCAGGGGTTACAGCCCAGGAGTTCCGAGCCCAGCCGCATCTTCCCTCTACCACAGACAGCAGTTCTGCCAGGCCACCTCCCACCTCACCCCTGCAGATCCCCTCCCAGGCCAGACCCCAGGCCCGGCTGACCACCCAGGGTGGGCCATAGGGGCATACAGAACCCAGACTCTGAGTCACCCCTGCCCACCTGGGACAGGCTGCCTGGCCCACGGGGAGGAGCACCCTGAAGGCAGCACCTGGGAGCCTCCGGACAGCCCCTGCTCCTCCTGCATGTGTCGCGAGGGTATTGTCACCTGCGCCCGAGTCCAGTGCGTCAGCTCCTGTGCCCATCCCCACCAGGGGCCCAGTGACTGCTGCCCTCGATGCTCTGGTACTGGGAGCCTGGGGTGGGGTGGGTGGCAGGGAGGTAGTGCCTGGTCAGCATCTCCCTGCCTTGGCACTGGGTGGGGCAGCAGAGACCAGCCTTTCCAGAAGTGGCTCTTTTTTTGTACACACCCCAATCCTGGGGGCTGGGGTCCCTGGGGGACAGAGAACCCCACCCCTGGCATTGCTGCCAGCCTGAAGGCTCCCTGGTCCTATTCTGCTCTTACCCCACCCCCAAGACTGTGAGCATGAGGGCCGGAAGTATGAGCCAGGAGACAGCTTCCAGCCTGGTGCAGACCCCTGTGAAGTGTGCATCTGTGAGGTGGGTGAGGGCCATGCTGAGGGTGGGGCACCATGGGGGTAGCCTGGACACTGTGGGCAGCAGGCACTAGGAGGGTCAGAGACAGGAGAGTGTCCCAGTGGCCAGGAGGTGAGGCAGGGCTTGGGGCGAAGAGCCAGCAGGGCCCAGAAGTCTGGGGTTAGCCGTGGCACTGGTGCTGAGTGTGGGGAGGCAGTGGGCAGGCCCTCCTGGCAGGAGGGTAGAGTGGGTGTGAATAGGATGGGCGAGGAGACACCTGGGAAGTGGTTGGGGCCACTGAGAATCTCCATCAATGGGGAGCAGGCAGTGACATCAGAGGTCCAGAGATTAGGCAGTGGGGTTGGGAAAAGGGTGGCATGAGAGTGCAGGAGGGTCAAAGGTCACAGACGGTTCAGGCCCAATGACTGGAAAGGGAAAGGGAAATCATCGCTGGGGATTAGGGGTGAGGAGCCAGTCTGGGGGCTGCTGAGGAGGTGCTGCAGGCACACGGAGGGGTCTGGGGCCCAGCCCTTGCTCACTCATTCCTGTTGCAGCTGCAGCCCGAGGGGCCTCCCAGCCTTCGCTGTCACCGACGGCAGTGTCCCAGCCTGGTGGGCTGCCCTGCCAGCCAGCTCCTGCCCCCGGGGCCTCAGCACTGCTGTCCCACCTGTGCCCGTGAGTCACTGATAGAGGGTAGCAGGGCTGCCACCCCCTGACTGACACCGGAGGTGCCAGCCAGCTCTCTGCCACAGTCCCAGCCCCAGACCTTTCCTGAGTCCAGAGGACTGTTCTAGAAGCCCTCGCCCTGCCCTGGTGGGTGAGGCTTGCACCACCGGAAGGGGAACGGGGGAAGCTGGCAGGGACCTCTTGACTCATTTTGCCCAGCAGGGGGTGCTGTGGGGTGGCAGTTGTGCCAGCTGCTGGCTTTTGAGGGCAATGATGTCAGGTCAAGATGGGCAGTGAGTGGCCCAGCTCCAGAGGTGGGGAGAGCCATCTTATCAGCACTTGTGCTTCAGGAAAAGAGAAAAGACGAACACTTATTAAGCACCCCTGCATGCCATGCGCTGCTTGGTGATTTTATTTTTTTTAATATATTTTATTGATTTTTACAGAGAGGAGGGAGAAGGATAGAGAGTTAGAAACATCGATGAGAGAGAAACATTGACCAGCTGCCTCCTGCACACCCCCCACTGGGAATGTGTCCACAACCAAGGTACATGCCCTTGGCCGGAATCGAACCTGGGACCTTTCAGTCCGCAGGCCGACGCTCTATCCACTGAGCCAAACCGGTCAGGGCGCTGCTTGGTGATTTTAATAAGCAGTATCTCGTTTAATTTTCACAGTTACCCAGTGAGGTGGGTATTATTATTATTCCCTTTTTACAGATGAAGAAACTGAGGTTCTGAGAGGTTGACTGATCTGCCTAAAATGGCACAGGCACTGAGGATTGGAACCGGGTTACCTGGCTCTCTGTGCTTTCTTGTGCCGCTTTAGCCAGGCGATATGAAGGGAGCCGGGCGGGGAGCAGGCAGCATGACGTGTGGTCCTGAGGGGCCTTAGGCTAAGGAAGCCACACGTGGTCAGTGTCCAGCCCT